CAATTGTGATTGTGGTTCACGGTTCACTAGTGTCAACAACAGATAGGAAATATGTCAACTATAAATATTGCTTGCTTTTTCGAGGAAGCAATGCACCACACGTGTTCTTCAGAGATCTTCTTCAACGTGCTACCACATTTGATGTAGGACAGAGTAGTGCTCTATACCTAAATTGATGTAGAGCTGGAAGAGGAGGAGATTGAGAAGAAGAGAGAACAGAGAAGAGAAGTTGAGGGAGAAGAATTCTATATTTTAACAACTCAATATTCAATATTCTTCAAAAAGGTGCCCAATCCAATACATATGCCCATGTATATTGGGCAATCCAAAGAACTCTAATGTCCAAAATAGTTGCTACAAAATAAAAGAAGTGAAAAAATGGCTGCAAAGAACCCTAATAAAACATGTAGCCTTGCCCGTGCTCAGTGCTGAAAAATAGCTATGCTCAGTCTAAACAAAGCTAGATATAAAAAATTTCTTAAATATATAAGAAATTTCTAAATGAAAATATTATTAAACTTACTCATATTTATTATAATTTCTAAAATCAATAAGAAATTTCTAAAATCTATCTTTCCTTGCCATTCCTTTGAGCATAGGGTAGATTCCTGTGCGACACATGTGTACGGGGCAGCTTTTAATCTCCATCATCATTCCTGTTCAATTAATCTATGGAAAATTTATACAGCATAAAATGAAAATGAAAATGAAAATGGAATGTGGCAAAAGAAGAGGGGATAACATATCACGTATGATCTTTAGCATTTATGTTCTAATAAGCCATGCAGAAGTTGTTCAACACTTGTAACAAAAGGAAATTTGGCAAAAGAAGAATGAATGTGTAAGATCATAACAGTCACTCCGGACGTAATTAGGTTTGAAAATGGAATGTGGCAAAAGAAGAGGGGATAGCATATCACGTATGATCTTTAGCGTTTCTGTTCTAATAAGCCATGCAGAAGTTGTTCAACACTTGGAACAAAAAGAAATTCGGCAAAAGAAGAATAAACGTGTAAGATCATAACAGTCACTCCGGACGTAATTAGGTTTGAAACCCAATGCATTTAAACTACATAAGATCTTAGAATTCACCTCTTGAGCACCAAATGTAAATTAGCTGAAGGGATCTCGAAAATTGTAGTTCTTCTTTTCATGTACTTTTCCAAACAAATTAGAATTGAGTGAGTAAGAAGTTCTACTTTTCTTTAACAGTAGCTCCTGGCCCTGTGCATCGACCACTTGTACAGCACATTTACGATTTAGGCATTTTCTTTGATTAAATATGTAGAGATAAGGATTTCAATACATCGCTAACCTTTATGGTTGGACGAAATTTATTTTGCCATGAATTCCAGTTGTTCAGAATTAGTAAAATCTTTTTATTAATTGATATTCAATGATTGAAATTATGTTGTTTGTTTGATTTACGTCTTACACGAGAGCTATTGCTCAGGTTTCATTTTGATGCAGTATCTTAAAGGACAACTTGAGGATTTGTCAGATGTTCCAGGCTTGGTTGAGTCTTCTGGGACTTTAGATAAATGCAATTTGTTAAAATGTGACATTAATGACAGTTTTGGCACTATGTGCATTGAAGAGTTAAAGGCATTTATTGGCCGAAGAAAGAGGGTAGCAGAAATGTAAGTTGAAGCTGTAAGACTCGTTGGATCATTACTACTTTGGGCCTTGTTCTTAGTTTTTACTGTACCAGTTTCAAAATTGGCCATTTTTGTTGTATTATATTTATTTATTTGTTTTACAGGTTTTGTGAAGAAGCTGAACATGTGGCCCCTAATCGTAAGAAGAAAACTGACTCGGGAAGATCCTTCTAAGTTATTTTGCACTGTGTCTCCAGCGTGTCAGCGCGCACCATTGATGGCCTTTTTGACTCCGGAAGATCCTTCAAAGCATTTCTTCAAGTTTTTGACGACTTCTTTTTTCATGTTTTTACCTTTCCGTTTCTTGCTTCATTTCCATGGTAAGCTTTTGAATTTCCAACAAGGAAGAAATGTCTCTCTAACGTGTTATTGAAGGAGATTTTGGTTTCAGAATGAAGCCGATGGCACCAAATTTGCGTTGGTATCACCTAATACTTCCCTGCATCAGGATTGAGGTCCTATGAATTGTATATGGTTTGTAAAGAGCTTATGCATGCATTCATTTTTTGTCTTTCTAGTTCCAGAAAGAATATTCAAATGATTCATTTGTAACAGTTTTAAGAATATTTCATACATATGCCAAATTTTATTTTTATTTTTTTGGGCATATGTTGAACATTTCTTCGTGGAAAATGGGAGGAAGTTGAACATTTCTTCGTTTAGTGGAAAATGGGAGGAAAATAATCGGAATAAGGTTTTTATTGAACTCAACTACCGAAGCATTGCTCCCAAGTACTTGAGTTAGTTGGTTTGTGGTTAATAGAAAATCACCAATACAAAAACGGTTGCATTCCCTAGTCCAATGAAATTGTAACAAGTGTCTAAAAATAAATATAAAATTAAATTGAACATTGCCCATTTATTTTCGGGTATAACCCATCTGTATATGTGTGTATATATATATATATATATATATATATATATATATATATGTATATATTTAATTTTTCCCTTCTTTCTCTTCAGTCTTTACCTCTGGTCACTTGGAGATTCAAATCCGACAAAAAAGTGGATTCGGCGTCAGTGATTGGGATTGGGATTGGGATTGACGACGAAGACAACGACAGCGGGACAGGAGGAGGAACAATAGGAAGATGTTGAGAAATTGAGGCGATGACGAAGACAATGGCAGCGGGATAGAAGGAGGAGGAATAATAGGAAGATGTTGAGGTTGAGAGGGAGTTGGATGGTGTAATTCTAGGGTTTGGAAGGATTTGGGTTCTGTAATTTTTATTTTTTATTTTTATTATTATTATTTTTTTTATCAAAGGGTTTTATGATTTAGGGCATTGAAAAGGTATGGAAGTGGTGGGTGTGGAGAAGAGATGGAGAGTGTACCAGTGGTGGATTTACAGTTTTGAAGGATTTTGGGTTTCGATTCTTTGCTGTTTTAAACAGCCACTGTCTTTTGGGCTTCGATTCTTTGTTCCAGTGGATTAGCATATAAATTTTGTGGAGAGGAATGGGAATGGTGTTGCTGCCTCTGCCGTTGGTGGTGGAGATGTTACCGCCCTTCAGTGGTGGTGCTTCTGCAGTGACTGATTGTGGAGAGATCGATCCAGGAGGTTGGAGTTACAGAATCGGCCAGGCCAGAGTGATGTCGTTGGCCACGGTGGTCCAGACGTCAGTGGCGGGGAGGAGGAAGGAGGGCGCAGACTAGAGGAGAAGGAAAAAATAAAATTTAAAAAAAAAAAGAAAAAAGAAAAAAAGAGACGGGTTATACCTGGAATTAAATGGGCAATACCCAATTTAATCGTATATTTATTTTTTAGACACTTGTTGCAATTTCATTGGACCACGCCATTGGGAAGGATGAAGTTCTTCCTCCCTGGGTAGGATGGAAGTATTATTATTATTATTATTATTCATAGTAAATTCCAAATTGTGTTTTTTACAACTACTAGGGAGTACAAAATGTGTGGTGACCTTGTGTACTAGGAAGATACTGACAAGTTATAAGTGCACGATCCAACGTCGCCTTGGAATAAAAAAGGAAAGCGTTATACATATATATATATATATGTAAGATTGGTATATTTCAAATGGAATAAGGTTTTTTGATCCAATTTTTTTTAAAAAATATCATATTATGTGGTGGAGTGAGTAGAACAAATCTTGGTTATTTGGTGAAGAGCAAGTGGAACGAATATGGAAAATTGCTCTAGTTTGCTTTTTAGCCTAGAAGTAGGGCAGGCCAATTTGTAGTTGGAGCATTTGTGAAACAAATGAATGATGTGTTACAATGTTTTATGAGGACGGAGTCTTAATGTAATGATAAAATTGCTCTATTGTGGACTATAATTGTTTTAATAATATACTTGGAAAGAGAATCTTACTTCAATGTATATGAAAGATTATTTGGAATACCTTGGGAGTGTTCTAAATGGCATAAAGTAGGTGATGTGTTTGTGTATTTGTTGATTGATGGTAAGAATGAATCTCAACTTTATTCCTCTTTAAAAAATATAATGATTAACAAACAAAGTAAGAGTTAAAGAGTCATTGCATTATTTGCATGGATAAGTTTTACCCAACATCACAATATATTTCTCAATAGGTATTTTTTAAATAAAATGTAAACTTCACTTTTAACACTTCTAATATGATATTATTGTTAGAAAAGTTATAATAAATTATTCAAAACTTATTAAAAATGTGTTTATCTAAGAAATACCGGATACATGGTTGAAGTATTTAAGAAGTATCGTATACACGTACTAGAAATGAAAAATATATTTTAAAATTATTAATACCAAATATCATGTCCGAAAATATTCGAAAAGAATCGGTATCCAACACAAACACGATACGATTACTATACTTGTTTAGAAGTAATCGTCCTTCTTAGCTGAGCAATAAGCTCAATTTCGAGCCCTAGGTTTTTTTGCTTAATGTTAAACAAATGAATTGAATCATAATTAAAACTTCACATTTATAGACAAACCAAGCTCAAATATTGATCTTTCATGACTAAGTTGAGCATGAATATATCTTTACTCGGTTCGGCTCTCCTTACCATCCTTTTTTAATTTTTTATATACTCTGTATATTTTTTTTTCAAAAATCATTTTTAGAGAATTATAGAATATATCTGAAAACAAATATTCTTTTAACTGAATTTTAGTAAAATAGTTTTTCAAAACTCTCAATAAAATATGTTATTTTTAATATTAAAATTAAAATATATATATATATATATATATAGAATTCGATAATTAAACATCATTACTTATATAAATCAGTGGGAATTATCCACTTCCGTCTCTATCATTACCTGTGGAAAATTGTTCTTGGAAAACCTTAAATTAATTGTTCGCGCACGTGCGGAAGGCTTTGTTAGAGTCGAAACCATATAAGGATGAAAAAAGGAAAAAGATAAAAAAAAAGGCACAGAAAAACCCTAAATCAATCTTTCAGATTTCAGACAGCTGCTTCTCTTTGACGAGCAGCTTTGAGCCTTCTCACGGCTTCTTCGACATTTAGGGAACCCACCAAGCCTTCTCACGCCACTGTTGATCGAAGATTGGTTGCTCAACTTGCTCTTCTACAGTCTCGAACAGAGAGTCTCAGACATTGCGAACACATCAAGCCTTCTCAAATTCAACAGGTTCGAAGTCCTCAATCCTCTCTCCTCTAACCTTCTAAGTTTTCACTTCTCAGATTAGTCAACAAAGTTAAAAATTCATGGTTTTTTTGTTTTTTTTAGTTCGGCTTCCATTCTGTCTTCTGTGCAAATTTATTTACATGGCTCAAATTCTAGAGTGTATTGTTTTGAGAATTATGTTGACAAGGTTTTGAATCTGACCGAGGAGGTTAATTAATTTGATTTGCAATGACATTTCTGACTATAATAGACCCACTACTATACTCAAAGTAATATATGCCGGACTACCCTTTATTGATGCTTGAACCAAAAAGTTTCCATCGCGAAGGACGAAATCCATCTTCATCATCAGACTTTCCACCTGTCTTTACTCTGAGTCTATGCCTTTCCTAATAGAGAGGGCTATGAGAATTGTGCTCAGCGGGCTCCGAGAATTGTTTATTTAAAGACGGAGCTCCTCCTATTAATGCAGTGCGCGATGCAAGTCTAGCATTGCCACAGACCTTACCCTAATTGTTCTCTTTCTTTTTAGAGAGAAAGAGAGTTTGTCAAATGAAGTAAGATCATGAACGGGGCTCAGGTCGTCAGACCGAGATGATATAGCTGCTTGCTGGGTTCTTTCTCACCGCCTCTGATATACCCCAGTGAGAGATTCGTCTAAAAATGACAGAATTTTGATCTTCACTTGAACTGAACCGAGCTAAAGTTTCCTTTCCTACTGCCTACAATACACAATTATAAGGGAGGGTTCTTCCCAATTCTATTTTCTCATCACAAGCTAGTACTCACTCACAACTTTGACTAGTTGGGAGACTTGCCTTGTCTATTTTCTCTTGTTTGTTAGCGCTTTTCTCCCAATACTATGAAGTACCCGGCGAAGCGGCTTGAAAACACTCCAATACAAATGCCATGAAAAGGAATCAAATTCGAGATAAGCTGCCTATGAGCATCATGGCATATTGCAAGAAGCAGCTGGCAAGCCCTCTTGTTCTGATAAACCTGCGTGCTCTGAATAGGGCGAAGAAGTCTGCATTCAAAGACTCTCTTATTTCTTTAACAATGCCTTTGTTTTGATAATATACTTGGAAAGAGAATCTAACTCCGATCTATACGGATATGGAAGATTTTTGGAATACTAATATACTTGGAAAGAGGATCCAACTCTGATCTACATGGAAGACTTTTTGAAATACCTTGGGAGTGTTTTAAATGGCATAAAGTAGGCAATTTGTTTGTATATTTGTTGATTGATGGTAAGAATTGAATCTCAAACTTTATTCCTCTTAATTATCCCCAGCCATAGAAGAATACCGTAGCATTTTGATAGATCAATGATCATTTTCCTTTAACCCTACTCCAAATTAATGATAAGAATCAAACCCCCCACGTCTACAACAAATCTCAAAAAAAATAAGATACTCCAAATCTCAAAAAAATAAGATACTAGTGCGGTTGGATTAGGAAACGGCAATACAAAAATAATTATATTTATATATATATATAAAGATTGATTTTATCTTATATTGTTATTAATATTTCTTTATAAAATATAATAGTTAACAAACAAAGTAAGAGTTAAAGAGTCATATTGCAACTCATGTAACGTCCATCGCTATGTGTCAGTTCTGTTGTTGAAAAACCAGATTTTCCCTCAAATCACCTAGTATCTCTTGACCTAGAATTATGTAAGATATCCCCAAATTCTACTATTTGATGACCCGTTGATACATACATTCCTCACGCCATCTGCTTCTTCATAGTCCTTTAATTTATTCTCATGTAACGTCAATCTCTATCTGCAAGTTTTGTTGTTGAAGAACTGATGAAGCACAACAGTAGACTATTCAACAACCAAAGGACACACACCGCATGCTAGATGTACAGTGAAAAACGAAAACCCCATCAATCAATAATTGGTAGTATGCACAATGGTTGTTATTAAGAACACCTAGATGCTTTAGTATATTGTTCTTAGTTTTTCTAAATTGTAAATGTCTTTTTAGAGTTTAAAGTCAGAAAACAACTAAGTTGTTAAGAATTTCAATTATATTTGGAAGCTGGAAACCCCATGCCTCAATTGAGCCTTGTGTCGATTGATCGACATTATTGCAGTAGCTAGTTCCATAACCATAGGATATGCCATATAAAACAATGTTTTATATATCAAATCATTATTTTAAAAAGTCCCAGTTTCTATGGATGCATATGAATATGAACCCGAATTAGGGAATGTCCAATTGTAAGTTGTAATTACTTTTTGCCCCTATATAAATCTTCCAATACCTTGGACAAGATGGCACAACTAACATAACCAATTTGACACACTAATAAGCTTAAAAATAAGAAAATCTACAGACTCAAGTTTTAGGCAAAAAAATTGCCTCCCTAAGTTCTATTAAACTAACAGTATGAAAACTTGGCTATATTTCACGAATTAGCGTGGCACACTAGGACAAACCTTTTATCATATATGCTTTGTTTCCACCTTCAATCATATTTGTTACTGATCTTTGGCATTCAATATCTCAGAAACCTCACCACTTTTTGTAATTATTACTGGCTTCTCAAGCTTGCTAATAACTTTTTTCATTGTAACGTATCTGTTCCATAATATAATTTGATACATCCCGTATTCGCTTTAGTTGAGTTGAAACTATTACGTTCTTTCTATGGTTATCAAAATTGCGATTCAAGGTTGTAGAATCGCACGATTCTACGATCCTAGGTACCCAAAATGATTAGAATCGCACAAAAATCGTTCCTGGAGTAGAATCGGTGAAATCATTCATAGAATCATAGAATCTTACGATTTACCGATTTTGAACAATTATGTTGTATAACCTTGCCTGGGCCTTTTTTTTTGGGGGCTGATACACCTTGTTCGACCTTTATTGAGGGGTTGGATCTTTTTAATAAGAAAGCCCAACCATTTTTGGGCCCAAAACAGAAAATATAATAAAATATAATGATTAAAAAAAAAGAAAAGAAAAAAGCACAAAAAAAACCCTAAGTCAGTCGATTTTAGATTTCAGACAGCTTCTTCTCTTCGACGACAGCTTTGAGCCTTCTCACCGCTTCTTCGACATTTAGCAAACACACCAAGCCTTCTCACACCACTGTTGGTTTTTTTTTTTCCGTTGGTTCTGCTTCCATTCTATCTTCTGTGCAAATTTATTTACATGGCTCGAAGTGTATTGTTTTGAGAAATATGTTGACAAGGTTTTGAATCTGACCGAGGAGGTTAATTAATTTGATTTGCAATAACATTTCTGGCTATAATGGACCCAATACGATACTCAAAGTAATATATGGCGGACTACCCTCTATTGATGCTTAAACCAAAAAGTTTCCATCGTCGAAGGACGAAATTCATCTTCATCATCAGACTTTCCACCTGTCTTTACTCTGAGTCTATGCCTTTCCTAATACAGAGGGCTATGAGAATTGTGCTCAGCGGACTCCGAGAATTTTTAATTTAAAGACGAAGCTCCTCCTATTAATGCAGTGCACAATGCAAGTCTAGCAATGCCACAGACCTTACCCTAATTGTTCTTTTTTCTTTTTAGAGAGAGAGAGAGAGAGAGGGAGATTGTCAAATGAAGTAAGATCATGAACGGGGCTCAGGTCGTCAGACCGAGATGATATAGCTGCTTGCTGGGTTCTTTCTCACCGCCTCTGATACCCCGGGTGAGAGATTCGTCTAAAAATGACAGAATTTTTATCTTCACTTGAACTGAACCCAGCTAAAGCTTCCTTTCCTACTGCCTACAATACACAATTATAAGGGAGGGTTCTTCGCCCTCTTGATGACATCATCACAAGCAAGTACTCACTCCCTGCTTTGACTAGTTGGGAGACTTGCCTTGTCTATTTTCTCTTGTTTGTTAGCGCTTTTCTCCCAATACTATGAAGTACCCGGCGAAGCGGCTTGAAAACACTCCAATACAAATGCCAAGAAAAGGAATCAAATTAGAGATAAGCTGCCTATGAGCATCATGGGCCTCATGGCATATTGCAAGAAGCGGCGGGCAAGCCCTCTTGTTCTGATAAACCTGCGTGCTCTGAATAGGGCGAAGAAGTCTGCAATCAATGACTCTTTTATTTCTTTAACAATGCCTTTGGCATCTTTTCTAAGGTTGCTTCTTTTTCTCCAATTGAATTTAGATAAAGTAGGCATAAGAATAACAATTCTAAAAAGCTTCCCCTTTTGATAGAGTGAGGAGGGGCCCATTCCCTTTTTACCTGAAATTCTCACTCACATGGTCACTGCTCAAGCCAGGTGCCAATGCCAGAGCTGGGCTCAGATAATCCGATTGGTTACTACTCTACTTGGAGTGACCCCTACATGTTAATATACAATATGAAATCTATAAGTTGCACTGTTCCATTGAAATGTGTAATCTATACAATATATGAAAATGAAGCAGAATGACTGCTCGACATGCCTACGTTGAGAATCATATATCTACGTGAGACTTGCATCGATACGTTCTTGCGCCTAAGAATTTGACATTGGTTATGGAGCCTTACCTTTATTTGCCTTATCTTTTGCCTTCTTCATCAGCACCAGCCCCAAGTCAGTCCAAGGGGCATGGGACTAAAGGGTGTAGTTCTGAAATTGTGCATGTAAACTTTATACAAATTCTTAGACTGACATATCTAAGTTTCTAATTTTCATTGTAGTTCCTATAGAGGAATGATCGTCATACATCTTTGACAAACACCTGTGTTGCCATAGAGAAATGCCATTGACTTGCAAGGGGACGTTGAACTTGTCCTGTTAGCCGCCAATGCTAATATTCTTTGCCACAACATCCAGGTTTGATGCTTCTGGTAGGAGACCCCAGCTTAAGCCTTGTGAGTGAGAAAGGTTCTCTCCGAAGAGGGGCACCAAACAACTTTTCTCTTCTTCATGCATGAGTCATGACAAGCAACAATATTCAGTTTAGTTAGATAGATGTGTCCCCCAGCGAAACTTAAGAGAGAGCCTCTGGTTTGGCCCAGGCAATAAGTTTCGTTAGCACATAATTTGAAAACCCGCCTCATTGACCATCTTTATGAATCCAATTTTTTCTGGGGTCCGAGAGTCACTACCCTACCCGCGCTATCGGTCAAGAGAATGGAGATTCTCTGTAATGGAATGTTCTATTGAATGAGCAAAGCATACAATAGAACATTCCATCTGCATTAACTACAAGTCAATCTGTACCCTAGTGCTTCTTCCTGTCTTTTTCAATAATAGGCATCTTGACTTATCACCATTTCCTCCTCTTCAAGAGCTAGTCTAATCACTGATTAGGGAAATTGAGGAATTGATTGCGCAAGCGTAACAAATCCACTTAAAGCGGACAGGGAACTTCCACGAGCAAGGCATATGTCAGAATCAGATCCTAATAAATGGCACTTTCTAAGAAATCTAAGACCAGATGATCTCTCTGAGGTTCCGCGAGGGTCAACAGTTGGGTATGGAATTTTTGCCCCCCCATCCCCAAATATGGAGGCTGAAAGAGAGATAACTATCAGGCTCACTAGCTGCACTCCTAGGATTTCTCCCCCATCCGTAAATCCTCACCTTCTGCCAGAGTGAAAAGAAGAAATGAACTTAAAGGAAGGCTTCCACCTCAATCAACCAGCCTCTGCCTCGCCCCCAGACTCAATACCCACCCCCCCCCCCCCCCCCCCCCCGGGAACTGGTTTGGAAGGAATATCAGAAGCAGCCGAAAGTGAAGCTGCGCCATCTCTAACAACAACCCCGCCCGCCCTAATGCCGTTCTTCTTGCCTGCTCTGACCGATCTCTCTTGTCATTCTAAAGGTGAGGAAATGAAGATGTTCTGGTTGCCTTCCCTTTCCTAAAGTAGATGTTCTGATTTGCTATTTGATGTAGTACTCGCTTCTGAGTGATTGGGGGAGTACAATGCTATTTCTTGTTCAGGCCAGTTCCATTTCTTGTTCAGGAAGGTAGGTCAGTCAGAATGAGTTCGAAATTCCACATCGAAAAAGCAGAATCTGAGCTGACTCACATACTGAAAAGGTGATTTTAGCACCACCACTAAGAAAGTGTCCAAAGACCACCCACGTAATTCCTCACTTAGGTAAGTGAAGAGGGAAGGATCTAATATCACCGCCCAAACGTGTCTACCTTCTCTCGTTTCTGATCCGCTAGTTTCCTTATCTTGGGGCTTGAGCTTCAAAGTCAGCATTGCACTTTCATAATTGTATCATAGATATTTCCCCTTTCAGAAAGAGAGTCTTATTAGTCAGCTCCAAAGCAATTGATTGCACAAGGAAGGAGTGTTTTTCTTTCTTATTAAGTCAGTGAGCCGGCTATTGTGTGAACAATAGCACAAACCAGTCTCTCAAGTAGATTCAGAAAGATGACTATATGGCTGTTGACCCCCTAATGGACTATGCTACCTTGACCCTTCTCGATGGTTCTTACTTTCTGTCGAGGAGGAGAGAGTCAAAAGTGGGCAGAGTTTGCAACAAGAAAGCTATATTGATTGGAAATCTTACTAGGAGTGGGGCCTACCGCCTTTACCTATCAATGCAATAGCGAAACAGAGACATCTGGTCTTATCCGTAGTCAAGCAGGCTTCTCGAGCGACTGTCAGAAGATGTTCTTGTTCCATATGCTTTCCCATAGGTGGTCTCATAGGTAGAGTTGGTAAGGCGCATAGGCTCTAATTCCACAATTGGTCCTGCCCACAGTAAGGGCATTCATCCACGTGCCAAGGAAGTTTGGCGCATGACCGAAAAAGAACTAGAAAACCAGTTGAGATTGTTGATGAGAAAGAGATCAAAGAGTTGATGACCGGTGGTGCCGACCCACGAGAGGGTTATATTTATAATTTATGTTTGGCGTTTTCAATTTCATATCAATTGAAATTTCAGAAGCAGTATTATATTGTTGTGTTGTGATTTGTTTCGAATCGTAAACATATTAATAACTACTTGGTCCATACTCCATAGTCCATACGTGAGTCTGTGACTATTGTTTATGATGATTTCGAGGGATTTGTTCAATTTTGAGGATTTCTGTTTTGTGTTCTTTTCTGTTCTGTCTATGTCTCAATTTTTTTGTGTGTTTTGACCTTATTCTTGCTATATTTTATAAACAATATTGTTTAAAAAAGTATTTTTAATTTTTAATTATTTTTTACAAATTTGTAGAATCTTACGATTTACGATCCAATTCTACGATTCCGATTTTACGGAACCCAAAACAATTATACGTAGAATCCCGATTTTAACAACCTTGGTTCTTTCTTGAGATGCAACCTTTTATTTTCATTTTTTTTCTTCTTGTTGTGGGGGTGTGGAGGATGAGGTAAAAAATTGTTGATTTCTCATGTACTTCCTTTCCTTGGTTAACTGCCTTAGCTTAGATGTGATTTGCCATTTTTCACAAGCCAGTGACTTGGGCTGAAATAAGTAGAGTGACTGGAGGAAACCATGAATGTGAACATGCTGGAAGGTTTCTACATCAGATGACGCATCTTAAATAATGCCTAATTCATTTACCAGGCTCACTCGAAGACGCCCAAGAATTTCAAGCAGCTCTCTGTTGATATAGCATATTATCTCAGTTGTATTTTCTTTGTTTACTTTTTGACTTGCTAGGAAACATATTTCTTATGCAGAATATCAGGAGATAATGGCCGGAAAATCAGTAGAGTCTGTAGCAAAAGCTGTTAGAGTGTACCAGTATCCATTGCGAGAGAAGTTGGCGAAGTACAAGGATGAGCTCTCTAAGGGCGTTTGGGGCTACTGGGAGCTTGGGGCATGGAAACCTCTTGCCATCAGTGCACGCCGTCGAGCCCGCCTCCGCAAAGAAACTTTACTTGCCGGAGAAGATTGGCCATACGATCCAGCAAGGAAAGAGATGAAAACCAAAAGGAAAGGGCATAAGCATGATAGGATAGCAGCACAGAAGCGGGCCAATACTGTTGAATTAATGCAGAAAATGCCGCAAATGTTGGCAGATTACAGAAGGAGAAAGTGGGAGAAGAAGATGAATGAAGAGGATGCCAAGGCTAGTAAAAAATAGGTCCCATTTTACTCTTTCCCTTTTCAAACCATTTTTCTTTGTGGACTAATTTGCTTGCTTGATGATGTTGCCGATCATGTACCGCGCATTTCATTAGATGGTCCTGTTCTTATTTTCTCCTTTTTGAGTCATCAGTTAGTAATTTCATGCTGAATTGGAAAATCTTGTTCTTTTGATGGATGGACCTTGCAATAGAACAGGTTTTTAGAAACATTAACCGAATTACCATCGTCCTCATTTGAAATTCTTGCGTCGTGCATATGATTTTTAGCTGGTGTGCAGCTTGAATTTGTTCATTCTCATACTTGCAATGCAAATGAAATTTGATGAAATGCGGGAGGAAGAAGTGTTCTTCTCCTATACTTATAATATTCGGAAACCAGTATGCAGGAGTGTTTATTGTATCGTGCCAGCAGTCCTAGAGTTGATGGTTGGTAAATGGTAACTAAATAAATATATAATTGAGGGTCCAAGTCTTCATAAAGACAAAGTGAGTGAATTATTTGTTGGGACAAAAATTAGTAAAGAAATAATCATTATGAATTATGTGAAAACTACTTTCAATTTATTTGTGAATTATTTGTTAGGACAAAAATTACTAAAGAAATAATCATTTTGAATTATGTGTAACACTACTTTCAATTTATTTGATATATATATTTTTTGATACAATGCACATTTATGATAAGAATATTATAGTAGCTTAACTATGGCGGCTTAACCTTGTGAACATAGCACACACGGTTGTTAAAGGCCTTGGCAAGGCTGAGCCGAAGCACCTTAACCTCCTAACAAGTCCAATTAAAGAATGTCTTGAAGACTAGTCTTGCATACTGGTTCCTGAAGTGTAAAAGTACAGGAGGGCAACACTTCTTTAACATGTTAAGGTTAAACCAAAGTGTGCCTATTCTGTTTGGATGTCATGTCACTACTTCATCCATAGTTTTAGAGCAGAACTTCACGTAATGCAATCTTTTGTTCTAGCGGCAGCTATTGAGCCTATTTCGGTCATTGTTTTCGTTCATTGCCTGTTAGAATGGTAAAAGTGACTTGACGAGTTCAACAACATTCACTTTATGTAAAATTAATGTTGAACGTCAAATGTGTCACACAATCTAGGAGAGATTTTTTCCCTTCAAATCACAGTTGTTATGGTTGATTGTGGATTATTAAATAGTTAATGGGCTTGTAATGAGCACAGCATAATCTGTGCCCTATGTGTCCAGTTTCACCTTGGACCATTGAAAACTGCTAGGATGCAGGTAAAATTGCAATGGGTTTGGAGTTTGATTCCTTGATACACACACATAAACACACACACACATATAGAGAGAGAGGACCATTCATGCATGTTAGGTCATTAAAATGTAGTCCAATTCTTTTGTTGCATGGCTTGATGAACTGATCAGACAGGACTCTGTTTGTGTGTGTGTGTGTGTGTGTGTGTTGTGTGCTCATGGGATTCCCAGGGGGGACAAAAGATGGAGGAGGTGATGGTCTAAGTCGATGACTTTGGGATCAAAACAGCTTTTCAAGGTCAAGAAGGATGTGTTATGTATATAGGTCATCCCCACACATTTTCTCTCTAGTGACAAAGAGTATGATCTTCTTGTTGGCCATGCTTGTCTGTTATAACCAACCCATGGCAATAAAGCCCCATGGGACCCCTATGTTCTTTAAAATAAATTCTAGGACCTCCCTATTATTAGTATTATTATTCTCTCTCTTCTTACTTCCCCATATTTAGTTTTTTTTTTTTTTTTTTTTTTTTTTTTTTTTTTTTTAAATAATAACAATAATTTTTTTTAACTTTTATTATTTTTATAGAAAAAGCTTTTGTCCTTGGGCACTTGAGATGTCTCAGTTGTTGAATATCCCATTTGCTTTCGCACCCAATTTTTATATAACTCTCAAAGTTATTGCTCTAGAAAGCAAAAATTGCTTTCAAACAGTCAAACATATATATATACTTTGCTTCTTTAAGTTAGAGAGAGAGCTACCTTTCCAAAAAAAAAAAAAAAAAGAAAAGTTAAGAGAGAGAGAGAGTTGTGGAAGTACTTTTGGAATAATGATTCCACTAATTAAGAAATTTTCTTAATTAATTAATTAATTACTTATATTCAAACTCATCATGCCATGATCAACATAGCCCCACGCCTTGCAACCTCCAAAGAAAAAGGGCATAATATCAAAGTGCAGTCTAAAGAATGTCATTGAGACCAAAGAGTGATTAAAGACATTACTAATTGTCCCCCTCACCACACTTTGATCAATATCTTTCTCTCTCCTCCTTAATTACACTAGTATATACATATACGTATACATATATATATATGTATGACACATGAAACATACACACCCCTTTGGTCACAAAACGTGAATAATATTTCCCACTATCTTAGACAATAATGGGCCATGTAAATACACAGTTTGGAAAAGCTTGACCCAAAATGACATAAGGCTCTTGGAACATTTATGGGAATTTTAACACCACCTTCGACACTAGTCAAATCAATTTCACCTTAATCAACTCTTTTGATCCTATAAAACACTAATCTTGACATTAGTGTAATTTTGGCGGGAAAAAAACAGAAAACCTTTGACATTGGTGTGAATGGGAAGATCAAATGTAGACTCTCTCATTCTTAATTCGATCACCCATGAAATAAAATTGATAATATTTTTATAAACTACCCATCTAATACAATAATCGAATAGTAAATCAATTTTAACGTACTAATTAAGAGACTAATTAAACTGACTAAATAATCATATTGGAAAATGACTACAATAGATGAACATCAATACTTGTTGCTTACTTTTCTCTGGATTCGGTTATTCAGAATAATTTTTTATTTTGTTAAATATTTTTTATTATTATACCACGTAAAATCTTCCTACTAATTTGGACAAATGACCTGTGCATACACACTTTGGGACAAACTTGACCCATGATGAGATAAGGTTCTTGGAACACTGCATTGGCTTGATCCAAAAAATAATTTGGATTTTGGGTAATTGACAGAGTTAGAAAGAATATAAACTTGTGCATGCAATCTTATCGATCTCGTCGTATCATGATCTGCTTCAATCGGTTAAAATATAAATAAAGTAAACCCTAATTAATTTTAATTAATTAGTGGGTAATGGTCATTAATTAAAGATAGTTTGCTTAAGCATCAAGGTACTAACTCTTAAATGATGATTGATTTATTTTTTTATTTTTTATTTTTCATAGAAATCATTTTCTCCATGAGATCACCTAACATGGGTTGTCTCCCTCACCACCAATCGGAGTTCCAACTTTTGCAGTAATTATTAATTATTATTGAATATAATTTTAATTTTTATATAGTATATTAAAATGTGATTGTGATCATATGACTTGGGATTAATTTAGTAGGGTAAAGAGATTTCAAAGGTCAGTGTCATCACATCAATCTTGATTCTGTGTCCATGTCAAATGTCAAGCTCTGGGGAGGATCTTACAATAAAAATCAACGGAAAATCTTGCGTGACATTTACTTCACTAAAATCAAACTAAGAGAAAAGATGAATACAACAAATATAAAGAAAAAGGATCAATATGCAACGTTCAATCCAACGACTGAAGGGTCACATTTTGTGAAGAGCAAGGAGACACAATTATCATGATAATGCCAGCCATTTTTCCATGCTAATCACGACACATCTATATATATGCATATATTATAAATATATTTTATATATCACAAAAAAAACCGACTATATTTAAAAAGTGGAGAGATACATATACTGTAAAATTTTGAAGGTTCTAATCCCATATATAAAAAAATAATAAAATAAAAATAAAAAAAAAGGAGCGTGAGTTATTTATACACACAAATATTTTTTATTTTTATTTATTTTTTTTAAAATTTAACAAAGGCCATTATAAAATAACGATATATGCATGGTTGAGTGTTTTTTACACCAACCAAAATATGTGGGTTGGGCGTTTGCATGGATTTTATAATCCATCACTTTAAAGCCAGAGGAACATAGATAGTAACATAAGCAATAAAATAATAAAAGTAGTTATATCATGTGTGGAAGAAATTATCAATGGAATAACTGACGCTGAAAGCAGGTGGAAGATTATATATATGCCACCTATAAATGTATACATTTATAGTTCAGATGACTTCAATGTTTCTTATACTTTTTAGATGTGCATATACGCATGCATGGTCTTTCGAGCCTTTGATAGAAAAGACACCAATGGGAGGACCTACATTTGCCCTTTTTTTCCTCCTTTTTTTTTTTTTTTTTTTCACTTTCTTTCTCTCTTTATTTTTTTTTCAAAAAGTGCAAATAAACGTTCACTCGAATACTCTAATACTCAACATTTACTTTAGAAAGTAAAGATCATATCATTGATGAATATTGGACTTCAATTAAAGAAATAAATTTAATTGAATTCATGTCTATCTTTTTTATTTCAAAACTAATATATTGGGATATCTCAACACATTTAGTGTATTGGGATATGTCTAACACATTTATGTATATAGAGCATCTCATTCAAATTTTTTTTTTTCTTTTTATTGGCTAGAAGCACACTTGAACATTGTAGGGGTTCTTTTTGAATAGTAATGGTGATATCAAAGATACAAATGTGAAGAAAATAGAGAAGATGCTTAGTGAAGGAAGAGAAGAAGACTGATCTTCAAGATTGAGATGGGGATAGGGTAGATATACAATACTTATGACAATTCTTTTTTGGCTTATCTTTCTTTCATGTGATAGTGTTATTTATAGGCTCTAGAACATGCTGGTTATTAACCAGTAGTTCCTCGCGCGTCTCGCTCCTAACCATAATCGCATTGGTAGTCCTGATAGACCTAGGAGCCTAAGAGGTCGATCCAATCTTTTTATCGAGCCATGCACTATGTTGCGTCCCCCCAATTTGGGGTATTAAATGCTTTTTTGTTCTTGCTTGGCCGTCGGTTGGCCAAGTCTATCATAACATTAAATGTGATTCTAAGGTTTGTTGTCATAATGTATATATTCCCATCATCTCGTTGATTGGGCCTCGCTGGGGGCAAAGGCATTTCTTAACTTCTCATCTACCAGTTCAAGCTCCTTCTAAGTTTCTCAAAGTGAAATCCCACACAGCTGAGAAGGCCCTACCTTCGTTTTGTGCTATGTTTGGACCTATGAAGATATGGCAATTTGTAGGCGAGCTCTCTGGGGCTTTAATGTTTCGAGGTATTGTGAGGCTCAAAGAAGCCTATAGGCTGAACCTTCGAGTGCTATTAACTTGGCCTTTTGCTAAGGTTTGTAGCTTGAGGTTTGGGTTCTCAAGGCTTTATTGACTTAGTGCGATGTCAGGGTTTGAGTTACTCAAGGGTTGGTTCCTCGAGGCTTTGTTGACCTGGTGCAGTGCCAGGGTTTGGGTTACTCGAGGATTAGTTCCTCGAGGTTTTGTTGACCTGGTGCGGTACCAATGTTTGAGTTACTAGAGTGTTGATTCCTCGAGGCTTTGTTGACCTGGTGCGGTGCTAGGGTTTGAGTTACTCGAGGGTTGGTTCCTCGAGACTTTGTTGACTTGATGTAATGCCACGATTTGAGTTACTCGAGGCTTTGTTGACCTGGTGCGCTGCTAGGGTTTGAGTTACTTGAGGGTTTGTTCCTTTAGGTTTATTGACCTGGTGCGCTGCTAGGGTTTGAGCTACTCGAAGGTTGAGTTTTCGAGGCTTGATAACCAGGTACGATGCCAGAGCTTGGGGTGCTCGAGAGTTAAATTCTCGAGGTTTGGTGGCCTGGTGCGATGCCAGGGTTTGGGATGCTCGAGGGTTAATCCCTTAAGGCTTGGTGGTTTGGTGCGATGCCAGGGCTTGGAATGTTCGAGGATTAATCCCTTAAGGCTTAGTGGCCTGGTGCGATGTCAGGACTTAATGCAGTTATTTGACTTTTCAACTTGTGGTCCTAATTAAAGAGTAGTGTTGAGTTTTTTAACGCGCCATGTAGCAGTTGGTGACTGACACCACAAACATTAACCTCTCATTTTTAATTGGTTGAATATATATATATATATATAACTAAATTATAGCTCTTGGTGGTCAGAATGTTGTGTTTGAAGTTTGTCAAATGTCGGACATCATTAATCAATTCTTTTTTCACTGTTGTAAATTTTTTTTATTAAGTCATCTCATCTCATCTCACCACACAAAATAAAAGAAAAATAATTTTTACACCAAGTACTTGAGATTTATTATTTTTAATTAGTCATTTATATAATAAATAAGAAAATAAAATCTTTCACTTGATTGTATTTAATATAAATAATTAATAAAAAATATTTGATTAGATAATTTACTGTAAATCTTCTATGTGAGTCAAAAACTTCATATATTAAGGTATTGTCACATTTTGTTTGACTTGGTGAAGCGGTACCTTTGTCAAAGAACTTCAATTCTATCTCTTCAATATAATTTGTCATTGTAATTCTAGTACATGTATTGATCAATTGCTTAGATTTAGGGGCGGAGCCAGAATCTTATTTTAGAGGGCGCACAATGCACTTGTCGAAAAAAAAATCAATAAATATGACAAATATAATTTTTTTAATCAAAAGGCAAACAAGAAAAAAAATAGTTATAAAATAATATGCTAAATAAATGCTGTAAAAAAAAATATAATTACAAATATAAGAATCAAAATATTGATTAATAATATTATAATTAAATACAATTACAAATGTCATCGATAAAAAGAAATAAGTAGAAAAAATAGAAAAATACATAATTATACATAAGTGAAAAAAGATTTTTTTTGAAAAAAAAAGTAAAAATTAGAAAAGAAAAAATATATGGTATACTTGAAGAAGGGGGATATATGTAATTTTTTTTTTCAAAAGGAAATTAAAAGAATTTGAAAATTTTTGGGGGGCGAGAATTCAATTAGGATTATGATTGAAAATCCACAGCGTATAAGGCAAGCATGGGGAAATGTCACCTGCACCATTTATATTAATAAATTATAATATCTACGTTATAATTAATTTTATATTAAAAAATATTAGCTATAAATTAAGCAAAAATTATTATATGAGAACCTTGATGTATTATTATGATATTCCCACAATAATATTAAATCTCAAGTCCTTGTGTGGAGTTGAACCCTCACCATCAAACTCTTACCATCCTATTAAAAAAGTAAAAAAGATATCACTAAACTACACAGCCATTAACAAGAAAACAAAAGAATATATCCCTGTGTTTTTTAGAATTAATCTATCCTTGTGTTATCTACTAAGTAGCATGGACACGAATACGATACGACACGAATACGTTGACACATCAAATTTTTAAAAAGTAAGACATGGGTATTGCTTGGATACGGCTATATATAAATATAAATTTTTATTTATATACCTGTATTGTGTAATAGTATTATAAAACTTTAATTTATTTTTAATTATATACTAAGAGTTATAATGATTTTTATATCATATATACAGTTATTCCACTATTTTGTTATAATGGTGTTTTTATTTTAAATGAACAAATATCATTTAATGTTTTGTTTGTGATCACGTGTATAATGTCAAATTTTCTTAAAGAAAAAGTTAAAAATTTTAAAACACATTCATATTATTTTAAAGATTACTATGTAAACTTGTATTAAAAATGTTGACTCAAGTGTTTAAAATAATAAAAATTTATTTTTATTTATATGATGCATCGAATACGCATCTAAGGAGTGCCGAACGTCCGACTTCGACACACTGCTCGGACCCGAATCCGTAATCTCAATAATTTTCTATACAAGTAGTCTAAAATTGTTGCGGTTTGAGTACACGAGCATGCCAAAGTTCTCATAGACTTTAGAGTGTGTGTTGTACGGGCAAATGCTTCTTTGGTGATTAAAGTGTCCGCGTGTTATGCCTTTTTTTCACGCCTACTCCAACCTCTCTATTAGCACCTAATGAAAATATCTTATTTTGTTTTCTTAAAAAAAAATTTAATTTGTTAAACGACGACGTTGGAACACGCAATGTGCCTAAATTGGATAGCTAACTTTCCTATTTTGTGGAAGACTTTTAAAAGCCTCACCTTTTTGTCCTAACAAAACACGTCCTAGTCTTCACTAGTGTCTCTAAATTAGGTGCACTATAACCAATTCAAATATTAATACAAGTATGTTTCCTCCTACGTTGAAACCTCATTCATTATATATACATATATAATAATAATAATATTAATACTACTAATAAAGCATAGGTTAAAGCATTTGGAATAGCAAAAGGTGTTTAGGTCACACAATTTCTACTAAATTGGGACCCCTTTGGTTTGAAATGTGTCCCCTTTTTTGTTTCAAATTATTTGAAATTCTTGTTGCTTCCCTCCTTTTCTTTACCAACCGAAAGAGATTCTCATTTTTTTTTCCCAACCGTCAAAGCATGTCCCATGTGGGATTTGACCATCCAACGGCTATTGTTTCGCCGCTAATATTTCACGGGAATTATTGCAATTTCAATTTTTTCCTACATTTTGACTTGGACTGTCTGATTATGTATATATTTTTCTTCTTGAGAAAATGATTGCCTCACCCGAAAGGAGTTTAATTTGTGTGTGTGTGTTTTTTTTTCTTTTTTTTCTTTTTTTTTTTCTGCTTCAATTTATTTCAAGAGAAATGATTAAATAATCTAGGACAATGTGATTTCGACTAATTATTAGTTGACATGGAAGCAAATGTGTCAATTTTATTCAGTTTTTTTACATTGCCGTTTAACTTGTGATTATATGTAAACTCAAAATGAAGCCTTCTCCGATTCTTGACCAGCTTTCATGAATGCATGGACAAGGTCTCAAGCTCTCACAGGCTTTATAACTATTCTACCAAACACTCTCATCTCCATTTTTCAATTACTAGGCCACAAAAATCTTCTATTTGGCAAACTTTGGTACCATGGACAATGACTCAAGACAAAGCCAAGGTCTCAAGCTCTCACAGGCTTTATAACTATTCCACCAATACTCTGTGTCTCCTCTTTTCAACTAAGAGATATGAATCTTTAATTTGGCAAATTTTGTTAGCCTAAATGACAATAATTTTATGTGACAATTTTTTTTTTAAGTAGTGTTCATATATATATATATATATTACGTTATTTGAATAATCAATTATCAAGCATCTAGTTCAAGTGATTTCTCTATCTTGTATTTTGATGTTTAAAGAAAGAATGTGAGACCTTACGAGAAAATGAGAATCTTTTTCTCAAGTCCACCATTGAGAAACTATTTTTGAATATTCTGAAGAATATTCTTTCAACAAGTCATCACAAAACCAAACTCTTTCGCCCTAAATCTTTACCAAGAACCTTCAACTCCTAGAACTACACGTGGCAAACAAATGATATCAAAGCCTTCCCTATGCTCTCACAATGATATGCGACTTTTATTAGAAAAATCAAATTAAACAAGTTCAAGAGACCGATCCAGAAAATTATGTATTGGGATGGTCTTTAACAACAATAATATAAAGAATGTTGCGGAGGCAATGGTTGAATTTTTTTTATAATTTGAATGGGAGTAATTTTAAAATTCTATAAGTATTTAATAAAAAAAGAAAAGAAAAATAATAAGCATATATTACAAATATATATATATATATATATATATATATATATATATATATATATATATTTCACCCGTGGCAATTACCCTTACTGCCAAAGAAAGTAGGTCCGTGCCTGGATAAGTCACAGGACCTATGCATTAGAATTGAACTTTATATGTGTAAATTCTGTGTTGTCAAATAAAAAATTAGTTTATCTGTAATGAATCGTACTATAAAGTTGTGATGTGAACCATCACTCACGCCACGACTTTTATTAATTTATTTGTAATTATGTGTTGCCAAACGCAACATTAATTTATTAATTTATTTGTAACAAATCATACAGTAGAATATGTAGGGGACCATCTATCAAAACCAATTAACGGATTTCGTTACAATTGTATCATTAATTATTATTATCATCATTATTTATGTTATTACTTTAATACATTAGTGTATATGTCACATAAACAAAATATATAACATACTACATATTACCAAAAAGTAGATTATATAATTAAAAAATATATAAAAAAATAAATTGCAAAAGATGGCCCCAAAAAGTTGTCAACAGAGATGGTATTGGTCGGCCAAAATCTATAGGAGGGACCCACCTCATATAACATCCCTATATAACACCCACCACCTCTTCCCCTGACCTCCCCTTCCTTTCCTTTCTTCTATCCATCACTCACTCCCTCTCTCTTTTGTGACTTTTCTTCTTATTCCCTAGTGTTTTGTCCTTTCTGGGACAAAGCTAGTTCCCTACAAATCAAGGGTAAGTTGTCCTTAAAGTTGAGACTGTTGGGGATTGTGTGTGTGTTCACACTTGGGAGGCATGGAGAGGGGCAGGAAACAAGGTGCACCCTCACCATGTGCAGCCTGCAAGCTTCTAAGGAGAAGGTGTGCTCAGGAATGTGTGTTTGCTCCTTATTTTCCTGCAGATGAGCCACACAAGTTTGCCAATGTCCACAAGGTCTTTGGTGCTAGTAATGTCAACAAAATGTTGCAGGTATTTCAATTCCTAACTTTTGAAATACGTAACTTTTTTCCACATTCTTCCACTAATGTGTGTTTGAAAGCAACTTTTAAAAGAAAACTTGGCTTCTCCAAACATGTTCTTCCTTAACTACCCCCAAGCACTTCATCTTTGAAGTCTTTTTTGTGTTATTTTTTCCTATATACTACACTTGAAGTAGGTTATACCTTTGATGATCTTTAGTTGAAGAGATTTGGGTTATTTCAGAAAATTGAAATGAAGGGTTTTGTTTGGTTCTTTGGAAAATGGGGGAAAGGGAAACAAAAATGGTTCTAGCTAGTAGCATTTCTTTGTTAGTACTATCATCTTATAGGTTTTGTTTTTTTTACGTCACTTGGGCGTGTGTTATCGAGTAAATATTGTGTGCATGGAGTACTGACAATGTAATACCGGATGAATACGACTAGTTATATTTTATTATCAATAATTTTAGAAAATTGAAGTGAACGGTTCTGTTTGGCTCTTTGGAAAGTGAGGAAAAGTAAAACAAAAATGGTTCTAGCTAGTAGGATTTTTTTTGTTGTACTAGCATCTTTTTTGTTGTACTAGCATCCTTTTAGGTTTTGTTTTTTACGTTTCTTGTCCGCCACATATACTAACAATGTAATACCCAACCAATATGACTAGTTATATTTTATTATCAAAGAAAATACTAGTGTGTTCTGGGGTAATTTCAGAAAATTGAAATGAAAGGTTCTGTTTGGTTCTTTGGAAAATGAGGAAAAGTAAAACAAAAATGGTTCTATCTAGTAGGATTTCTTTGTTATACTAGCATCTTTTAGGTTTTGTTTTTTATGTCACTAGCCCGTGTCTAGCATATCATTTGTATCACCTTATCTCGGAGAAAATATTGTATACCAGGAGTACTAATAACGTAGTACCTGATTAATGTGAATTATATTTTATTATCAAACAAAATACTACTATAAGGTCGGTACCTCCAAGAATTCATATTCACCCCTCCCCCCGCCCCGCACGGCGGTATTGGATGGAAAAAGAACAAAGGATTTGACTATTTTATCTTAGAAATTTACAAATATCTAATTATTATTTTCAAATACATAGGACTTTTAGTAACAGTAGTCTCTGCTCTTAAAAGAAAAAGAAGAAAAAAGGTGGATAGGGATTGACAAAAGTGAAAAATATAATCTATGGATAAAAATGTTCTCTCGTATTGTTGTCCAAGATCATCAAACATAGCTCAACGATTCTTAAAGAGAAAGTAAGACTTAGACCATGTAAATCACATATATTAAATAGTTGTCATGAGTCACATTTTGTAATCGGACTTCTAATTTAGTCTCGCTTTCACTTTATATGACTTAAATTCTGAGTAACGACTCAAACAATCCGTGAGTACCACTTCTAAGTCCTATTTAATTTGCATTTACAGGCTCTTATTGTATCTTAGTTTGATTAGATGCCATAGCTCAAGTCATGGTTCAAGGATTGGTGGAAATTAAGAAAATTGAGAAATAACTTAATTATTTTCATTAAATATTTCATAACTTTTTTTCACTGTTTTGAAAAATATTTGAGAATCACATGAAGCTTTTTGCTACTGTTTCTATTTATCAAGGAAGAAAAGAAAAATGAACAAATCTTATCATTTAGAGTTGGTACAGTTGGTACTTCTGTTACATGTATTTCACCTAAAAACACAAAAAACCAAATATAATAGTCCTACAACTAACATTTATTATTTAAATTAGCATAGATGATGCTAATAGTATGTGATTAAGTCACGATTTAAACGGATTCTTGTGCATCCCTAATATACATGATAGTAAATTTTACGGGAATCGCCTAAAATAGCATAGATGATGGTAATATGTGACCAAAACACGATTTAAACGGATTCTTGTATAACCCTAACTCGGGAGATTGTGAATTTTACAGGAATTGCCGGTGCACCAACGAGGAGATGCTGTGAGCAGTATGGTTTATGAAGCCAATGCCAGAGTCAGAGACCCTGTGTATGGATGTGTTGGGGCAATATCATCTCTACAACAACAAATTGATGTGCTTCAGACCCAATTGGCGATAGCTCAGGCCGAGGTGGTGCACCTGAGGGTGCGACAGGCTGCATCAAATCAAGCCCTTAGTCCTTCAAATAGTGGCTCGCCCTCATCTAGGATTGTGGCTTCACAGGCTAGGCCTCTTTTTGATATGGATATGGTGGACCAGGCCAGCTTGGGAGACTCAATGTGGTCATGCTAGCTCATGAGCTACATTTCTCTTACTATTAATATATACATATACATATATATATTTATATATATATATATATATATATGTGTTTCCTTTTGATTATGGTGTTAGATCCTCACTATACTTCAACAGATAACTGGTGGTGGAGGCTATTCACCTAGTTTGGTTTGAAGAGGGTCTCTGTCATTGTATATATATGGCTTGACTTCACATAATTGAGCAATTATATAGCAGCTAAATTTTGATTGCATGACTAATTACTACATGGATTTTCAATTAATTTAATGTAAGTAATGCAGTGGACAAAGCAGTATTTGATAGTCTTAATCTTTGATATCACATGCACAGAGTGTTTGCTCATAAAATTGGAACTTTATATTCAGGTGGAATTGGAGTGTCAGATTAATAACAAATTAGAGAAGGTCTAATATAATCCCAAAGGGTTCGCCTAGCAGGTGAGAACGCTGGCTCTGGTGCCTCATGAAGCATTAGGTTTTGGGGTCGAGCATCTGGGTAAATAATTTTCGTGAGGGTACTTACACGGATTAAATTGTAGTCAGGCTAAGCCGTGGTGTCTCATGAAATATCAGGTTTTGGGTTCGAGCATGGGTAAATAATTTTCGTGAGGATGCCTATTGTGTTTTTTTGAAGTCCCTCAAAGCTACTTTGAAGATATAGATCAGTGCAGCATAGGTTAATGTGCTTTGGGATAATTCATAAGAAAATAGAAAAAGTGAAAAGATTATATAGAAGTTTTCTGATTCAGAATGAACTTTCTCAATATTAAAGTTCTATCATGGCCTGTTTGAACTTGCAAGGTAGGCAAAACAAGAAAACAAAATTACAGTTTAGTCCTATATTTCAATTGTAAGAACCAATAAATCTTATAAATTTTTATTAAGACAACAAAGTTCTAAATTTTTTGTAAATATTTTCAATTAAATTCGTAACTCCACTAGAAACAAAATATTTCTAATTCTGGCCTTTCATATTGAAACACATTTGCTATGTTTAGTGGGAAAGAAAGAAGAAGGTAGAAAGAAAATAGGAAGGAAGAAACAAATTTACTTCATTCCATAAAGATGATATAAGAAAAGAAAAGATAATAAGAATGATGACTCATCTTTTACAAATTTTCATTTCTCCAAATATAGGCGGAATATAGGAGAGAAGACAAATGAGTCTATTATAGAATTTTTAAATTACTCCATAATGGTTATTTTTTCCATTCGCTTCTATTCAACCGAACAGAAAGAGGAAAACGTTTAATCTCTTTCCTAGTGTCTCAGTCATCTCTTCTTGTCTCTTTTCCATTCAATTTTTTTCCTTCATACCGAATGGAACATAATAATGTCCTTTGCTTATTAAAATATAATGAATGATTTTTATGAATATAATGCATGAATTTGATTTTGAAACTTTTAAAGTATTAAATCAGATAAAAGACTTTAAAGCATGATATAATAGGTTTCACTACGAATAGTCAAACTTAAATAATGTGTTAATCAGTTTAGAAAATTGCTAAGTTTGATGTCAATAAGAAAGGTCAAAATTGGAAAAAGGCATTACGAGCCAGTACGGTAGTAGACAATGGATAAGGGATCTTCAGGACGAAACTTGCATAGTTACAAAGATCCACTAGATTGGAAGATTTTTCGTTTCCCACAAAGAACAGGACTAAACTTTCGTGCACCAAAGATCACTAGATTGCAAGATTTTTCGTTTCCCGCGAAGAAGAGGAGGACCAAGGATCACTAGATTGGAAAATTTTCCGTTTCCCACGAAGAAGATTAAAAACAAAACCATTGTTGCTGTGCATTCCTTTGACAAAAGCTCCACCTTTTCTTGTTTCTGCTGCTGTTTTCATGATGGGAATGGACTCTTTGGGAGCCGCTTTTGTACCAACACTTTGAATGGAATTGGTATCTTCTCAATACTTTATTTTGTTCCCACATTTTGAAGAGCAATGGTACCAAGTATCAACACTTTCGTACTAACATTTTTCTTCTGCTTTCATCATGTCTTACTATTATTTTTAAGAATTTTTTGCCTAACCCCTTTACTTAAAGATTGGGGTTCATATACAGGAAAGACCTTTGGTTAATTCAATGACCATGCAACATCAGATTTTGCATCATTAGCATGAAATTTTGACATTAATAATTCTTGACTAAAATGAATCTTCAGCTCATCGTAAATGGGATCAGAGCGAATTCAATTTTTGATCTAATATCACGTCAAACGTTCAAAACCGAAATGTTTTGGTTGTTACCTAGTTTTCCACTATTAAGGTAGTCGGGTAGGCTGTGTAGAACAACTATAACGAGAATGTTACGGGTTTTGAGTGTGGGAGAATATCACGATTCTTATCCCACATTGAATCTGAATCACAAACGTCTAACCTAAAAGTCTTACCAAAAACAAAAACAAAAAAAAATTGAATTAAATTAAATAATCTAATTATTAATTTAAAGGGGATATTAAAATAGCCACATATTTTCAAACTGTTCCTGAAAAGATACTGTGGGTGTGGAAAATTTTGGCACCTTGTTAGCCAGTTAAAGAAAGAAAAGTTAGACATCTTCAAACCGCCACAATGAAAGTGGCATCAAACAAACACTTGGCCTTAAAATAGGATCTCTAGGGACCAATCATTTTTTTTTTTTTTTTTTCGCATCCTATCATAATCTCACCTCTAATGTGGATATTGGGAGTCACTTTCAGGAAAATCTTGAAGACTCCTGCAAGATTTTTGATTTGACTAATAGGATAGTATAGTGTGCCCTAATTGGACCAACCAAAGCAAGCTCAAGTTTTTCTATAGGTTGTGCTTTTCTTTTTTTTTTGGATGTTGTGCTGCTAATCTTGATTCTATCAAGCTGATGTAAGCATCACCTGGCTTTTTGGTGGTAGACAAATGAATTTCCAAGAAAAGAAAAGAATAAATAATAATAATAATAATAATAAAAAGTATTGAAAAATTTAAGACGAAGTCATCCTCTACTCATATAAAAAATATTAAATATATAATAATTGTATATCCCTTTAATAATATAACATTGTTTTTTAGTTAATTACGGTGGGAGATTATTAAGTGAATTATGGCTCATTCCATGAAATACTTTCTTTTTTTTTTAAGTTGGTATTTCATATATGTGCCTCTATTGAGGTTCAAATCTCTTACCTCTCTTTAAAAAATAGAGGTTTGATATTACTAAGTTACTAGACGGTTGGTTACATGAAATAATACTTATTTTGAGAATCAAAAGAACTATTCATAGGGCTTTTTTTCTCTATATAAATATTTATTCTATTTTTATTTACATTTTTTTTGGTCAAACAATAAAAGAATATATTAACTCTTTAATTTCATCTTATCCTTTTAAACTTTTGAAGGGAAAAATTGAGTTAAAATGAGTGTATAAATTTCTTGTCAAGATAAAAATTAGAAAACCTTGAAAGTCAAATAACCAACCTAAGAACTTAGCTTTCTTATTTAAATATATCTATATATATATATATATATATATATGTAAACTCAGCTTTAAAAATTCTTGTGAAATGGCAATTTGAAATTCAAATGAGGAAACTTTAACCCCATGTTCCTCAAATGTTGCTTGGATACATCAAGACTAAAATATATGGAAAAAGTGGATGTATAACGGCTAGAAACATCCTCCCAATAGACAAGAGTGTGACCAATGCAATTTGGACTAAATGTTAATCAGATGACATGACAGAATAGAGGTAGGTTCATATATTATTATAGAAAAATGTAGCAGTGTCACAAACTTTCTGTCACCATTGAATAATCTCGTTTGTATTTTTATATTATTTAAAAATAATTTCACGGTGAATGACATTCCCGAGTTTTCATTCTCATTCATTAAATTTGTTGAATAACATTATCATCAAATCTAATGGATGAGAAACTTTACTAAGAATATCCTAATCACATTTCTCATACTTAATTTTTATGACATATCGAATCATCTGAATAATTTTTTATATTATCTAAAAATAATACCATGATGAAGGTATTTATACAATAAGTTCACTTTCATATTTATTGAATTCGTTGAACGTTGTCACCGTCGAATTCAATAGATCTGAGATAAATTCACTAAAAAATACCCTAATCATAAAGTTGCTCAAAAAACTATAGTGCATCATCATCGGATCCAATATATGAGGGGGCGAACTCACTGTAGGAATACCCTAATTAAAAAATTGGTCAAAAAAAATATAGTACTAACATGTAATTTTCACCAAAATACATACAAGAGAGGAAGGAAATAATAATATTTCTTGTCGAACTTTCCCTATCGATTTACTTTGTATTGAGGGAGATACAGTGGTAAAAATATATATTCAAAAGCTGTTGTTCATTTTCAACCTATCTTATCAAACAATAAAAAGAGACTGACCTTCTATTTTTTATGTAGGACAATTTTACGCATTTAATATATATTTATTAATTTTAGGTTTTTTTTTATATATATGTTTTAATAGAAAGTTTAATCCTAATTAATTTCTTTAAGAAATATTTTCCTTTTACTATTAAGTTTCTTTATATTTTTTATCTTCTTCTAGTGTTACATTTTTTTTTTTTTATATTATAAATACATGTAATGTCAAATGCAGAATTAATTTTTATTCATTCAATTATCAATATAAATGTCAGGTAAATGGATTCAAGACATCGTACTAGATTAATTCAAAATAACTCGTTCCTCGTAAACAAATTTATACTTAAACAAATTTATATATTAAACACGTAAAACTATCCTACATCAATTTTCATCCTCTCAGCGGAACAAAAGGACCAAGGAAGGCCTTTCCCGCCATCTTTCTATTATTACATCCCCATTCGTACCTCTTACCAACTTAACACAAGAACTACCTTTACACTAATAAAATTGCCATCACTAATCATTTCCCAATTCAATGATAAAAATGATCATTAGATCCATGGATTCAAAATCTAATGATCGTTATGATGAATCAAGTGTACTAGAAATGAATTTTGAAGTTACAATTTTTAACAGATTGCACCCAAAAAATAAATTGATATGGTTCACGAGCCGCCGACGATTCATGCACCATTTCAAGAGTCAGATTATCAATCAAGAAGAACAAGAAACTAAAAAAAAGTGGTGGGCTCATGCATGATTTCCTCGTAAGAGAGTCAGCTTAACAATCAAGAAGAACAATGAAGAAGAAACTGAACCTATGAATTCGAATTTGAACTCTTTGGCACTCACAAATTTCTTGTGAGTCCATTGGGAGATGTGAGACCGTTCATTTCTCAAAAGTAAAAGGTGTCGGGTAATATTAGTAGAGGATTTCAACCGTTACCCTCAATCAAACACTACTGATTAATAAGACATAAACAGTGTTCGGCTAAGAATTTCAATCCTGTTTGACAGTTGTACACTGCTAATATTATAAAATGAAATAATCTACAATCACAAATAACTTGCTTAAAGTAGATTGCTTTCATACGGCGGTAGTCGTTGGTTCAAATTCAATAGTAAGTAGAATGTATTAGATACCAGGGTCAGTGATATCTAAGGTATCCAATAAATTTTTCCACCCAACCTATTTTATTGATTTTGTATCTTTTCTTTGGATTCAAATTGGATTCCCCTTGGTTGTATTTGATTGTATTCAATCAGCTTCAAAAGCATTTTTCAAACAAAAGATTCTGAAACACATTTTTCATCAAAACAACCTATTCAATGGGCCTTGGGTCAAGCCAGTGGGCTGTCTTTGGATTTGTTTATTTTTGTTGCCATTTGGGCTTTGGGCTTTGGGCTTTGGCTTTCGGCTTCAGGCCAGTTTTGTGTGCAAACGTGCCACAATGACATTAGAATCTTTGTGTAAGAACCATTCTACACCGGTCCAGTAAAGCTTGTACAAACTCTTACACAAAGCAGCAAAGTGAAATAACCATCTTCAGGGTTTATATATATATATATATATATATATATATGAAAGAACAGCATATAAAGTATGCATTGAATTTAAATATTTGAATTCCATATCTTTGGAAGATAAATATTTAATTTTCCATCTCAATTACACATAATCTAACACTACGTGGAAAAATGAATATTTGAATATTAAGTTTCCTATTTCAATTCTTGCCCAATATGGAAAATGATTCTTGAACCGAATAGTTGCAGTGAATTGTTAGACTTACTCTTTTAATTGGTCAATTATGTAGCAAATAAGAAAATTGAGCCATCCATTAATTGTATTTGGTATAAATAGCCAATTAAAAATTATTCTATTACACAATTGAGTGTAAGTGTTTAGCGTGAGTATCACTACTCTTTCCAAATTAAGGTTAGATGAGTACTGGTATTTAGAGGTTGAAGATGATGCCATTTTCTCTCACAATTTCAACATATATATTCACAGTCACTTGAAAATAAGCAATGACTGTGATATGATAAGGACCTACCATGGTAATCTAACTTTCATAGAACTTTTAGACCATTATACATCCTTCCAATTCATCAAAAATGTATTAAAAGACATTTGACAATGTAAATTTTATTTAAGAGTACTCTTTACATAAATTTTATCGTTCTCTCTTTCGATAAATACAATAAAAGACAGACATGATATGCTATTTCTAGTTCCCCTGTTTTTTTTCGGATAATGGAAACAATGGGATGCTCTGTTCATTCCTAAAGAAGTTAGATGGATCAGTATTGGTCTTTATATGTGCTAATCTCTTGAAGTTGTTCTTGAAGTACTTCAAACCCCAAACACTTGCTTGTGCATAGCTTGTATTACCACCATTCTTGTTCCTACCCAAGTCGAGATCTCTATAGTTGACATAAGCAGCTCTTGGAGACTTCGAAACATAAGGTTTCATGTAGGCATAGAGCTTTCTCATCCAGGAGATGTGATCCTTGGTTTCCTTGTTTGTTTCCCAGGAAACCATGTACAGAATTTTGTAAATGATTCCACTTCTATGAGGGAAAGGAGTCTCGGAATCTGAAATCGCGCTCATCTTTCCACCATAAGGCGTCAAGATCATATATGCAGCTTCATCTTCAAGTAGAATTTCCATTAATCCTTGCAGCCCAGCTCCGGGAATGGGCTCCTCCACGTAGTCGGATTTTGCCTTGAAGAAGGAGATGGATTGCTGAGTCCTGTTGAGCAAAACATCAATGGATTCGTGGACTGAGAAGCCGACAAAGGGAAGGACGGACTCAATCCAACTCATTTCGAGGCAGTCACCGTGCTCCAAATCTAATTCGGGGAAGCTCTCTTGTACTAGAGGAAGGAGTTCCTCAACACCTCCAAGAAACAAGCCATCAAAAGAAACTAGTATCGTTTTACTTTTGTTTGCATTTTGACTTGCATCGACAACTCCTATGGTGGCATGGAGGAAGAGGTCTTCAGGGAGTTTGTCTGCTACGGTTTGCCACTTGTAGAGAAGCTTGGTTGCACCTTGTTCTAGGGTCTTTTGGACACTACAAATGGTGACAATGGATGGAACAGGGACTAACTTTATTTTCCAAGAAACGACGACTCCAAAGCTTCCTCCTCCTCCTCCTCCTCCTCCTCTGATAGCCCAGAATAGATCCTCACCCATGGATTGCCTATCAAGAACTCTGCCATTGACATCAATTATCCGAGCATCGACGACATTATCTGCTGCTAGGCCATATTTTCTGAAAATGGTACCAAATCCGCCTCCACTGAAGTGTCCCCCAACACCTACTGTAAGACTGCTGCCTGCTGGGAAGGCGTAAACCTTGCTCTTCTCCGCGATTCTGTAATATAGTTCTCCTACAGTTGCACCAGACTCTACCCATGCACTCTCATCTTCTATGTCAATCCTGACAGATCTAAGATTGGCAAGATCAACAATGATGAATGGAACATCAGACACATAAGAAAGGCCCTCGTAGTCATGGCCACCACTTCGTGCTCGTAATTGCAGGCCGTGCTTCTTGGAACAAACTATGGCTGCTTGAATGTGTGATTCATGAGTTGGCTTGACGATAAGTTGTGGCTTGGGAGTTGAAGTTGTTGAGAATCTGAGGTTTTGTGCAGCAGATTGCAAGACAGATGAATATGATGAACTGTTTTTAGTGAACAGTACTTGGGAATTGGGGTGAGAAAGGTTTGCTTTGAAGTAAAAGCAATTCACAAAGTTTTCATGAAATGAAGAACTTGGAGTTGCCAATGAAAAGGACACAAAAAGGATGTAAGATAATGTTAGTACACCAAAGGCTGAAAACCCCATATTTTTGTTTCGCAAATATTACATTTCAAATGGTAAATGATGTTTAGTCTCTTATTCATAACCATATGTATATCTTGACCATCTTGTAAAAGGTTCTGCAATATCTCGGGTATCGTACTTAAGGTGTCTAAATCGTTAGATCGTTCATCAGGTGAGGCTCACCACTACATCCAACGACTAAAAGACCAGGTATGGTATCAGAGTATTGGATATAATTCATTGAGCTGCAAAGCCTTGAAAAGTATTACTTTCATTGCTGAAACGTCAAAGAAGGGAAATTCAAAGTTCAAACTGAAGAATAGTCCAAAGCTGATTGCAACAATAATAATAAAGAATTGAAAAGTGGGTGCAACTGGGGAAAATTAAATTTCTAAAATATCATGTTTGCATCACAATAATAAATAAAAAATTTTAAATTGGGTTCAAGAAAGTCTTGCATTTTTTTATTTTGAGTGGAAATGGAGAATGACATTTGAGAGGGAAAAAGGAAGGAAAGAATAAACAGAAACAAAAGGCAACAAAAAGATAAGCTCAAAGCATTCCCCCATGGATTAAGGCCCATCATTGACCAAAGTCTTGTGGCTTGAGAGCCAGAAATTTTTATTTGGGTGGCTTGTGAAATTTTGAAAAATTTATAAATCAATTGTACTATAATTTTTTATAATATTATTCTATATATTGAGGAAAATATAATTAAAAAAATGAGAAAAATACAACTTAATAAATAAAGATGGATAATTAATATGAGAAAGAAAATACATAGAGAAGAGAAACAATAAGCTACATGTAAAAAGATAAGTGGTAGTGAAAGATATTATTAAATAATTAATTTTACTTTAACAATTGTTTCAAATTTTAAAAAATGCAAAGTTTTTTTAGTACAATTCCAAACTTGATCAAAGATACTAAAAAAAAATGTACAATTCTAACTAAAACAAAATATTACAAAATTTTTAAAAAACACGATTATCAAGAACAAAATGAGGAAGCAATTTAATAACTTATAGAATGAGTAGCTGTACAATTTGTTATCTAACAAGTGACAACTAAAAAATTAGCATATATGGTACATTAAAAAAATGTTGTTGGCATTTTTGTTATCTTAATCTCATAACACTTTTGTTTTTCCTTCTTCCCAATGCTTTCAAGACTCACCGAAGGAGATTAACATTTGATTCTAAATATTTTTCATGTAAACACAAAAATGATTATAAGGAAGGTTTATGTATTTATTATTAAAGATGAGATACATTAGTGTAATTTTTTCCTTTTCTCTCTTGAATTCATATAAAGAATATTATACATGTGTATGTAAATATAAATGGAATAATGATATATTATAGTAAGGCCTACGGATTTATATTTCACAAGAATTGAACTTCAAAAGTAGGCTAAAAATGGTGAAGTTAGAATTTCTATGAGTTTTAAGGGGATACAAATTATATTTATTTACAAATTTACTATTTTTGGGGCCAATGAAGTGTTTTGAAAAAGATTTGGGGGGCCAAAGTGACTATAATTTAAGTTGTTTTCAAAATAATTGTTTTTGATTGGTATAAATAAAATTTTGGAGGTATGTCGGGCATAAAATTTTACTATCTTATGTTCCTTGGGCCCTAAAATGTTTTATTCATCCCCATATATTTTAGGTCACTACAATTTAATTCATATAGGCTCCGTTTGTTTGGATGTAAAATATTTTTTAGAAAATATTTTTTTATTTTCTGGTGTTTGTTTGTTGTAAAATATTTATGAAGAAAAAAAATATTAAAATTTAACAAAAATAACTTATCCATTAATTTTCGACAAGTTATTTTACATGCCTCGCCCGATGGACTCGACCTCAACATCGACATAGACTTTTGCCAAATACCAACAAAGTAAAAATAAAAGAATATTTTACCTAAAAAAAAAAAAATTATTTTTCAAAATTTTTTTTTACGTCTAAACAAACAGAGCCTAAGTATTGAAAAGTAATAAAACAATGTTACATTTCATGTCCTCTTAATTTTTTTTTTTCACTTTCCTAAATTTCTTATTAAACTCGAATGCAAAATTTTAATTAGTCACTTTCCATCTAAAAAATAATTATTACTTAAGACTAATAAATTAAGCATTATATCTTCCGGGAAAGAAAAACATTAGACGTTTAAATATAACTTTTATATTTTTCACCTAAAACTTTAAATTATAGTTGCATGTATACTTTTTTATTAAAAAAAATTAATCATTATGGAAAGCATTTTTAACATCCAATTGTCTATGACGCAATTCTTTAGAAATCGCAACAAATAACGGTGTGTGAGGTTGCATGTTTAGATCCCGTTTGGTATGCGTTTTGTTTTTACTGTTTTTGTTTTTGGACTGCCACAGCGTCTATTTTGGCAAAAAAAAACATGTTTGGTGCGGCCTTATTTTATTTTACACAATACTAAAACATTTCGTGAACAGTGGTCCAAAATCAAAACACCAAAAAGAAGTTTTTTCTTGTTTTGACAGTTGTTCATGGCCCAAACTATAACTGTGCATGTTTTTGTTTTCGACATTTTCAGAGCAAAACATCGTTCCCAAACGTGCTTCCGGTTTTTTTCCAAAATACTCCTACAACAAAAACACTGTTTCTGTTTTAGCCAAAAACAAAACGTATGTCAAACGGGCCTTTAACAATGGGCTAAATGTTTCTTGGCCTCGGGGTTGTATGGCTTGGGCTTGTTTAGTTGGTCATGTTTATTCTAGGGCTAATGTAATTTGGTCTTTGGGCCGCCTGGTTGTTGGGCTGCTCATAAATTGTTCATACATATAAATTTATAATTGCACCAAAAAAAAAAAAAAAAAAAAAATGGACTAAATGTTTTACTAAAGTGTGAAAGTGTATAATGCCCTAGTACTCTCTTCCAAGTTTCCAAACGTTGAATGTGGCGGTAAGACTCACCCAATAAATAATCCTAACAGTTAAGAGACTTTATGGTTATGATACCGTGTATTGTAGACTTTCTCAAAGTAAAATTGGTTGAACCCCTTTGCTACCAAAAGAACCTTGTATAGTTCACCATCACTTTTACAACCAATGTAGGCCTGAAACCTTAATCTTCCAATCCACTGGTGACAGTGTCGAGATGTTGATACCAAGGAGAGCTCCGTAATTCATCATTCATTATGACATCTATTTTGGGTAGTTGTTAGGAGAAAAACTTAATTGTGGCGGTTGCATTAGTAATGTGGTATTCGGTATTGACACAGATATAGAATTAACTAAAATAAAATATTTTACTTATCTGACATGGTTGCATTAGTAACATGGTATTCGATACTGACACAGATATAGAATTAACTAAAATAAAATATTTTACTTATGTGACATGATACAGGTAGTTGATGGCACAGATAGTGAAGTATTAAAAGTGCATGAAAGGATTTCTCGATTGACAGTGGAATCCTTCACCTACTCTGTAGGTGAGTGGTTAGTTTAGGTCGAATCGGTAGGAATAAACATTTTTGGTATTATGGTTGGAAACTTGGAACGACTAAAAAACTTATTGGTAGTAAATTTGAAAATTCAAGCATCCTTCCTTTTTTTTCCTCTAATTGAATGGGGAATCAAACAGACAGCATGTAAATGCAATGGTGGAGTGGCTCAAAAGTACAGTTCAAATTGAAAATTAAGCAGATGAATTTAAGTGTCCAAAACGAACGCATTACATACAAATAACCAAAAGTTTACACATTTAAATACATCGAATGAACTCCCAATTTAATACCTCCACATTAGTCTCTTTACTGCTTCAACCCCACCACTGTACCTAAAAACAGAACACAAGTCGCATAAATGACTTACAATAGTAACAAATAACAATTTGGTGTAAATAGAAAAAATATGGACAACTATTTTGAGACAAAATTTGGATGCGTGTAGATTTTTGTAATTAAGAGGAGTTCATACAATGAGTAATGTTATTAAGAGAAGTCGTCGACCTATTTTCTCACCTTACAAAGTAAAAAGTTGAATTTATTTAAATTTTATTTAAAAACTATTTCAATTCAGTAGTTAAATAAAATATTACCAGATAATTTTGATAACATTAATTTTTTGCAATTACCACAATTAGAATCTCTTCACGTTGATTTTCGTAACCACATTCGGCAGCTAACCAATTCAGAACTTAGTCCAAAAAAGTTAAAATGTTTACTCGATTAAGTGCATTTGACCACACAATTTGAATATCCCTTAAAAAAAAAAAATAAGCAGTTAACTTCAGAATTTAATTCTATTCTGAAAAAGTTAACGTTTATTGGATTAAGTACATTTGATAACATAATTTGAATATCACTTAAAACATAAGCCTCACTTCAAATGAGTTAAAATTTCCAAGTGTCAATGATAAATAATATCACCTATTGCTTAACACTTAAAATATCATGTAAATCAATTTGCAATTATCACTTAAAATTCAACTCTAATTTTTAATTTTTATTAAACCAAACATTAATCTTTATTTTTTATTATTAGGTCAGTAGTGTTATATATATATATATATATATATATATATCAGAATAGAAAAACGAACCTGAGCTGATGAATTTAGACAGTTTTGTCAATAAGCTCCCCATTCACCAAATCTCTGTAGGCAGCAACAGGCCAGATGAAACCCCTGAAGACGATACTCAACGCCAGTGGCACGTCAATGATGATCTCCTTCATGGTGGGCTTCTTTTCCTCCCGGATCGCAATCAGGTAGCTCCGACCCACCCACCCGATCCAACCCGCGATGTACAGGAACAATATCCCGGGCGTAATGAACTCGCCCCAGTGCCTCTGGTCCCCACTCACGATCAAGTGAGGCAGGCCGTCCGATCCGCACAGCAGCCCCTGCTTCCCGTAATTGTCAAACCTCCGCTTCGTCTTCTCCATCGTGGCTTTGATCGCCAGTGCCGGCGCACTATCAGGCGCGTACAGCTTCAGCGACGATTCCAGCTTCTTCAGCTGCTGCTTCTCGCGCTTGGCGAACTGTTTGGATTCCTTGCATGGCGTGAGGCCGGAGATGTCGGCTGACGCGGGGAGTGGGGCCGAAAGGAGGATGGAGGAGAGTGCGAGCGCAGCGGAGAACCCCTGGAGTGGCGATGCACCGGATGATGATGATGATGGGTCTGAGTTGGCTGAGCATGTGATCAACGGTCTTGATTTGGTGGAGGTGAATTGAGAGCTGAGCCTGGGTTTGGTTGTGATGGGTTTGGAGAGGTTTATGGGTATTGTGAGAGACATTTTTGCTTTCTCTCTCTAAACAAAAGTTTTCTGGATTTTTTTTTCTTGCAGAATTGTAGAGAGAGAGAGGAGGGGAAGTTGAGGGAGGGAGTTGGAGGGATGGTTTTTAGATTTTGGGGAGTGGAAATTAGTGGTGGAATGGGGAGGAGAGAGGATAAGATGGGGAGTGACGAGTGAGTGAAGGAAGCTGAGCTGGGGAGATGTTATTGGTTGGTAATGTTTGGATGTGGGTTAGTGGAGATTCTCTCTCTATCTTTGCATTAGCAGGAAGAAGGATAAGAAGAAATTCACAATAGTTGCTTGTGGTGTCCATGCGTTATATTCTTTGTATGGAACCTAGTTCAGACATCACCACGTGTCCCAGCAATAATAATAATATGTATCCTTTTTTAATCACTCAATTTTAGTATTTATGGAGTAATAATCATCAATAAATCAAAGTAGAATTTTAATTGAAAATTTTACATTAATCTAAGTTTCAGAGTAGATGTTAAAGAGATTCTTGATTTATCATTAACATACTTTCCTGCAACACTTAAATTTTAATATTTCATGTCAATTTTACACGTAATTTGAATTTGATTTATTTTCTACAATTCCATTCCTTAAGGTAGTGTTTGGTGTGGATGAGTGGAATCAAATAAGAAGGGTTTTTTTTTTTTTTTTTTTTTTTTTTTTTTTTTTTTTGGTGTGGGCTATTAAATGTAGAATTATCATTCTTCACCATTCTAAAAAAATGGTCATTCCACCAAAATCATTCCTTCTTTTACCAAATGAAATGATCATTCCATTTCCACATGGAATAAGATTAAAAAAAATTATGCCTAAAAAATCTGTTTATCATCTGTTTCTTAAACCCATTTCTGTTCTCTTCCAACACATCGACATCTTCCAACCCATCAACTTCGGAGTTCCTTCCACAGCCTAGAACCACGACAATGACACAACACAATCCAATCGCCGCAATCATCATCTCCTTTCTCAACGGTGAAACATAAACACAACCCAGCCGCCATCAAAACAACCCAGCCGCTGCTATCATCATCACAACCCAACCGCCATTAACACAACCCAGCTGCTGCCATCATCATTTCCTTGCTCCACCGCCATCATCATCTACTTTCTCAACGATGAAACATACAAGACCATAACACAACCCAGCCGCCTTTCTCGTCTCCAAGCGCTGGTTTCACCTTCGTCGTCTCTTTTTGCCGCCAGAAACAAATTCAACTTCCTTATTGTAGACACTAAAAATTTAGTGGGCTTTGATTTTGACAAATTGACCCATTATGGGCTTAATGTTTAATTAAGTTATTTAATTGGCCCAAGCTTGGTCCATTTAAATTATTTAATTAGCCCAACCCAGATGGTTAAATAAACAGATAATTATTCCTAATAAAATATATTTGGAATAATTATTTTTAAGGATAATTATCATAATATAACCGGTCCGGCCCAGTTATAATTTTATCCTTATTAGGAGATGACACGTGTCATCATCCTATCAACCCAACAAGCCTATTAATAGAGGCCTGGGGGAAGAAGGAGGGGGACAAAAATTCAGAGTCCAGAAATCTAGAGACTCAGAAATTGAGAGAATTAGAGAGTTAGAAATCCAGAGGACAAACCTAAAGGCGAAGAGCACCAAGCATATCCAAAGTCGTGTCGTTCTTCACCAAATTCAACAAATTCTCTCATCTCTGAAGATGAAGAACAACAAGCACATCCAAAGACGTGTCGTTCTTCCTCAAATTCAACAAAGGGCACAAAATCAGAATTCAGAAGTCCAGAAATTCAGACACAAATTTAGAATTCAGAAGTCCAGAAATCCAGAGACTCAGAAGTCAGAGACACAAATTCAGAATCCAAACCCAAAAGCGAAGAACACCAAGCACATCAAATCGTGCCGGTCTTCATCAAATTCTACGGTGATCAACAACAAGCACATCAAATCGTGCCGTTCCTCATCAAATTCCACGGCGATTCAAGAACAAGCTCGTGCAGCCCTTGGATCCAACCAACAACAAAAAAGAGATCGAATATCTTTTTTGTAAAAGATATTACAAAGGATTGTACTCTATCTTGATAAATTAATAAAATATTTTATTTGCTCCATATTTTGTTTTATTTGCAAATTACAAAATTTGTGTGTACAAATTTCTGGCATGCCCGGTGGGACATCCTCTGCCTCTCGTCTCTTTCTCCTACATCAAATCTTCAACAAATTCATTCTATGACTTCCAATAAGATTAAGACGAAGAGCAAGAATACCACCAAAGACATCGCGGTCATGACGGACAACATCAATACCATCACAAAAGGTGGCAAAAAGGTTGCAACTTCGTCAAGTGGTACAAACACCTCTGCAAGTTCAATAATGTGGAGCATGGTCAAATCATCCGTTCCTGCCAAAAGACAGCACGATGCGATGAGAGTCAATTCTGCCAAATCTGTCAAAGTAACAACTCAAACTCATATCGCCTTTACCTCGCTGAGGGCAAAGAGGAAGGTTCCTACAACCTCAAAGGTTGCTCTAGTCACAAGTTCAAGTTCCACCTCGTTGGGGGCAAGAAAGAAGGTTCCTACAACCTCAAAGGTTACTCCAGTTATAAGTTCAAGTTCAAGGCTGGTCCACCCAAGCCCAAAAATTTTTTCTGACTCCATCACTATGTCAGTCATGATGACGAGTACTACATCGTACGAAGAACAATTGACTACTATGGCCCATACAATTGAAAGATTACAACACTCTCTCAAGGAGCAAGATCTGAAAATTGCCTTGCTGACAGAAAAGTTAAAATTGTGTGACGACAATGCTGAGTCAAGCAAAGGCCGAATTCCTCATTCTAATTCTATGCCAGAAAACACTCCAATTGATGATCAAAATTACATATCCACCAATCCAACAATTGATGCTGTCTCCGTCACCTCACTTTCTGTCCAATAACTTCAAGACATGATAGTAAATCGCATAAGAGAACAATACTGTGGCGTTCCTCAAAGTGCTCGCATGTACTCAAAGCCTTACACATAAAGAAGTGACATTTTAAAAATGCCGGTTCGGTATCAACCTCCAAAGCTTCAACAGTTTGACGGAAAAGGTAATCCCAAACAACATGTCGCACACTTTGTAGAGACTTGCGGTAATGCTGGTACAGACGGAGATCTCCTTGTCAAGCAATTCGTTCGTTCCCTCAAAGGGAATGCATTTGATTGGTACACAGACCTCAAAGCTAAAGGTATTGACAGTTGGGAGCAGATGGAACGAGAATTTCTCAACCTTTTCTATAGCACTCGTTGTACTGTAAGTATGCTGGAGCTTACAAACACAAAACAGATGAAGGGTGAACCCATGGTTAACTACATCAACCGTTGACGAGCTCTAAGTCTTGACTACAAGGATCGTTTATCTGAAATTTCTGCAATTGAAGCATGTATGCAAGGCATGTGCTGGGAGCTTCTTTACATCCTACAAGGGATTAAGCCTCGCACATTTGAAGAGCTTGTTACTCGAGCCCATGACATGGACCTTAGCATGGAAAATCATGGTGCTAGGAAAGATGTTCCAGATATACCCGACAACCTTCAAGAAAATGAGGGAAGTGAGTCAGAAAAAGAAAACAATATACTTCTTAACTCGGATGACGAAATAGCTTCATCTTTCATTATAAGCATCATCTCAAAAGACTTGCATCAAGAAACGCACCATGCTACAACAACAATTTCAACCGAAAGTGCAAAATCACAAGGGGCATTAAGTCAAGGAAACCAAGAAAAAAATCCTCAAAGTGCGACGAGATAGTCCGTGCCCTTCAGCATAGGTTTGGATTGTTGTCTGATTCTTGTAAAGTTGAAGAAAATTATTAAATTTGAAGTGCTCCCAGATACGAGCCTAAACTGTCGATGACACTCCTTGACATGAGTTTAAACTGTCTATCTAGAAAAAAAAAAAATCAAGAACTCCTTGATACGAGTTTAAACTGTCTCCCAAACAAAAAAAAATGACACTCCTTGACACGAGCTTAAACTATCTACTTGAAAAAAAAAATTTGACACTCCTTGATATGAGTATAAACTGTTTATCTGAAGAAGAAAAAAAATAACACTCCTTGGCATGAGTATAAATTGTCCACCTGAAGAAAAAAAATCAAGAACTCTTTGACATGAGTATAAAAAAAATAAAATAAAATAAAAAAAACCTCTGTGACATGAGTATAAACTTTTTCGAAAAAAACTCATGTCTCTATTGAACTACGTGATGACTTGATCCCTCTTTTGAGGGTATTTAGGCAGTTTAGAATTTTATTTTAAGTTCAGTATAACGCTAAACAAAAAAAAAAAAAAAAAATTCTCAGAGTATGCAAAATGGCAAAGTGTGCTCGTCACAAGATATCAAAATGACTAGTCGCAATTAATCAACATAGCTTACTGTCAAGATTGTTGTCGCTCGTCACAAATTTTCAACTTGGCTCGCTCTCAAGATGTTGTCACTCATCATGTGATATCAAAAATGCTCGTCACACCTGTCAACTTGGCATGCCACCAAAGTGTAGTTGCAAAGAAAATTTTGGTCTGTCGCCAAATTGTAGCTGCAAAGAAGAAATTTGGCCCACCGCCAAAATGTAGCTACAAGTAAGAATTTTGGTCCGTCTCCATAATTGTAGCTACAAAGGAAATTTTGATCCGGCAAAGTGTAGTTGTGAAGAAATAAATTGGTTCGTCGCAAGACTGTAAGTGCCAAGAAAAATTCTGCTCACCGCCGAGGTATTGCTGGAAAAGATTTTCGTTGAGCTATAGTTGAAGAAAAAAAAAATTTGTTTGTCATCGAGGTAAGGCTAGAAGAAATAAATAAAATTGACTTGCCGACAAGGCGTCGCTGAAGATTTCGGTTCATCACCAAAGTGTTGCTGCAACAAAATTTTGACTCATCGTCGAGGTGTCGCTAAAAAAAATTTGCTTGCCGCTGAGGTGTTGCTGAAAGAGAAATTTGGTTTTCTATTGAGGTATTGCGTTAAGGAAAATTCACGGCGTCGCCAAGATATTGCTGAAGTAAAAACAAATCCCCACACGGAGGCATAGGCATGCAAGCTTTGTTTGTCACATCCTTACAGCATTTACAACAGAG